GGAGGCGGTGACCATGGCATGGGTTGGGGTGGAGGTGACCAGCACATGGGCGGGGGAGGAGGGGGGGGAAAACACGGCACAGGGGCGGGAGGCCATGACAGTACACAAGTGGGCGGGAAAAGTGGATATCCACGGAGTTCTGCCGGAACCATCCCGCCTGGAATGGGTGCTCGTCTGCACAGTGGCGTTAGTGCAGTAGAAGGGGCGAGCTCACAATCTAGTGCAGGTTCTCGGCTTGCTCAACCGACTGATGAAGTATTCTTCACGGGAGGATCTATCCTCCCCACAGTCCTAGCCGAAGTTTCGACAATGTCCAAATCGCTTCCTGTCGGGAACGTACCATACACAGTTTCTGCGCGCTCCAATTTCCCGTGCGCTTTGGAACCGACGGTAGTTGGATCCGTGAATGTTGAGGAGTCCGAACAGAGGATGGATGTGGACGTGGGGCGCCTTTCCACCGGTGGCGGATCTATCCGCTCCATAGAGTTACTCCCTAAGTCGCAAGTCGCCTATGTGGAGACTGTGGATAGAGGATCTTTCCGACCCACAACAGATTGTGCAGCTGACGTGCCGTCGAAGAGCTCTACCGCTACATGTGGGGAAATGCCAGTAAGAAGCCATTCGGCAGGTGTCCCTGGAGTCCACAGACTTTCCGAACCCGTCCAGGAAGTTGCCAGCGTCGCCGATGTTCAAAGCCTAACCCCCAGTGGAGGATCTATCCTCCAAATAATAAGTGAGGCTCGAGAAACACATGTAGGAAACACTCCCGCAAGCGACTTGGGAGTTTGGAGCCCTTCAACCGACGGAGGATCTGTCGTGCACACAACAAGTCAGGCTCAAGAAATGCAAGTTGGTGTCCCTCCCGCAAGCGTCCCGGGAGTCGAGAGCCCTTTAGCCTGTGGAGGATCTATCCTCCCCACAGCGAATCTGATTCCTCCCCGGGGAGAGATGACAAAGGACGAGCATACGAAGTCCAATGGCTCGGAGTCAACACATTATTCAGAAGATAAGGACATCATAGAGGAGAGTGCTGAACAGCACACGACTCCTGCCACTGAGGTGAGATGTAGCGGTACCACTGAGGTGAGATGCGGCGATACGGAGGACGACTTTCTCTCGCAGCTGTATTCGGGAATGAATACAGCACCGCTTCCGGCTGGAAACGTCCTTGCTGGCCAGTCAACTCAGACGTTTGTCATGCGGCCCTCAAAACTCCCTTCACCTACACTTGCGCTAGGTCGGTGCGCGGAGGAGAGAGAAGTTAGCGTGTCGGAACAGGAAAAGGGAGTTATCCGTCGTTCGTTGGGCGATGACGTCGTCAGAAAGCTCTTCAATGACGACGAAGACCTTACTGTGGTCGATTCTAGTCCACGCGAGGCTTCGAGTGGTAGGATGGCTCTGGAAGAACTGTCTCTCAATGAGGATGTCGAGAAACCGCGCGTCGACTCTCTTGATCCCTTTGCTGAGGAGGTTTTTCGAATCGTCGATGCTGACATCAAGGACTTGTCCAAGTTTCCCCCGAGTCTGGACCACATTGTTGCATCGGGGAAGATGAAAGGAGGAGGTATAGTGTTGGGTCTGAAAGCCACATGCGTACAGGCGGAGGTGGCACGAATTGGAGCTCACAAGGCCGAGGATGCTGCTGAACATGCTGGAGAAGACGCTGTGGCTGGTAAGCAGTGACTTGCGTTGCTTAACTCTGGGTCTATCTAGTGCAGAACGTGTGGACTGAACTTTTGCATATAGATAGCGGCTTGGGATATGGAGAACATGAGGGTAATTGCTCGTTTCCCCTTGGTTTGCTAAGCGCGGCCGTACACTTTATTCATAACTATGTTTCTTCATCTGTTGTACAGGTCGGTTGTCTCCTTCATATGGTGAACGGAGGAAGTCGAAGACGAGTATGCCGCAACTGTCCACAAGGGATATGAAAATTGTGAAAGCGGCGGTTGTGAGTGCTGAGAAAGTTAAGAAGTTGCATATGAGAGTTTGCAAGAGGTTTACTGTTTCTCCAGTTTCTCTACCTGAGCCGTACTTTGACAGAACGACGAGTAGAGGGGTTAAGATTTATAATGCTTTTAATACTAAAAGCAAAGAACTGTGCGGCTTTGACAATTAGGGTATCGTTCTCATGGTCATGCATGTTGCTTGGTTGGTCTGTGCAGCAGACATGTGCGCACCGAGCATCGAAAGAAGTGAGGGAGAGTTGTTGAAGTTGTTGGACAACATTGTACACTGTCGCCTGACCCCTTCTATGGTTGTGGCTCGCCTACCGACGGAGAACATGGTTGTTAGGGTGAGGGACATAGAGACCTTGTTGGACAGAGGCGGTGAGCTGAACGACGAGGTCATCAACTTCAACTTAGCACTGCTCGTTCGGGACTGTCGTACATCTTCTTTGAAAGTGTACAACTTTGTTTCTTTCTTCTTCACGAAATTGCTACTTCAGGGTTGTAAAGGTGTCAGAAGATGGACGAAAGATGTCAATCTTTTCGAACACAAGGTGCTACTCGTCCCCATTCACAAGGATAGTGAACATTGGGCTTTTTTGTAAGTGAACTTTGAAAAGGGTGTCGTACAGTTCGTCGATTCTTATTATAATGCAGTATGCGACGCGACGTTCGCTTCGACTGCATATAGAGCGGTCGTGCAGTACCTAAACGAAGAGGCAATGGACAGAGGGTTGCCCCAAGGCTATGATAACATGAGATTTCAAGTTCTCGCCAAAGGAGTGCCAAAGCAGGCTGACGGATCCAGCTGTGGGGTTTTCATGTTAATGTTTGCTTCCTATTTGGCGTGGGGACAAGATCMGCCTTTTCATTTCTCGAACATTCACATACCCGCTATTAGATGCAAGCTGGCGTCCATCATTTGTTCTGCAGTACCGCAGRTGTGTTGTYCGTWGTTGAGGAGTCGTATACCRTGAGTTTGCCCATGTGTTGTGCTTAGGTTCAGGATTCCTATACGTAGATGTGCAGGACCTTAGATGTGTAGCGAGTTGTTATTTGCCTTTGTCGATAGTTGAGCGGGTTGGATTTTGTGGGCCGGATATATCCGGTCCACAGGTGACCCACATTCTTTCCTTTGTCGATATTTGAGCGAGTTGGATGCGAGACGGATGTATTCGGTCCCTAAACGGCCCACATCCTTTACGTTGCAATATTGAAGCTTATAATCCTTACTCTCTGTGCGGTCCACAGGCGACCCCCCTCTCTCTCTCTC